GGTCTTCCTCTTCTCCTGCTGCCCTCAACTTCTCCTAGCACTACTGAGGAAAAGGAAAAGATTCGTGTCCAGTAGCACTTTAATGACCAACAAGATTTCCAGGGTATAAGCTTCCAAGAGTCAGAGCCCCCAGGTGTCTGACAAAGGAAGCTGTGATTCTCAAAAGCTTACGCCCTGGAAATCTTGTCGGGTCTTTGGTGGTGGTGGAAAGTGCCGTCAAGTCACAGCCAACTTAGGGCGACCCTGTAGGGTTTTCAAGGCCAGAGACATTCAGCGCTGGTTTGCTGTTGCCTCCCTCTGAGTAGCAACCCTGGACTTCCTTGGTGGTCTCCCATCCAAATACTAACCAGGGCTGATCCTGCTTAGCTTCTGAGACCTGACGAGATCGGGCTCGCCTGGGCCATCCAGGTCAGGGTCTTGTTGGTCTTTAAGGGTCTAGTAAGACATTTCTAGTAAGAAATGAGAAGGGAGCACTCACTGGAGAAGACCCTGATGCTGGGAAGGATTGAAGGTCAAAGAAGACGGGGATGGCAAAGGATGAGATGGTTAGACAGTGTCATCGATGCAACGAACATGAAATTGAGCAAACTTCAGAGGATGGCGGAAGACCGGAAGGCCTGGAGGGAGCAGGTCCATGGGGTCGCGAAGAGTCGGACTCGACTGTGCGACTGAACAACAACAACAAAGACATGAATCTTGCTCTTCTACTGCGGACCAGCACAGCTACCCACCTGAAACTATAAAGGGGTGGGGGTGGAACCCTCGTAATTTATGGAATTCACTGCCACATGGATGTGGTGATGAACACTGACTTAGATAGCTTTAAAAGTTAGACCGATTCACGGAGGATAGATCTGATCAACAACCATTATTATCCACGATAGTCCAAAGTAGTGTTACCCCAAGCTGAGTTAGTGTGAGCTAGCTCACAGTTTTTTAGCCTGTGGCTCACACATTTTTGTCTTCGCTCAGGAAAGATGGCTCTGGAGCAAACTAATTTATGCAGTAGCCAAATCCCTCTCTCACAACTTTGATGCCAGTAGCTCACAAAGTAGAATTTTTGCACACAAGTCTCCACAGCTTAGAGGGAACATCCAAAGGAACCCGCACTTTTAGAGACAGTGCAAATACTCTGTGTGTGTGTGTGTGTGTGTGTGTGTGTGTGTGTGTGTGTGTGTGAGAGAGAGAGAGAGAGAGAGAGAGAGAGACAGACGAGGGGGTGGTATATAGGAGGTCTACTGCCTTTGCCATCCACTTTGTCAGTTTTCACCTGATCCCTGTTGGAAACAAGATCTCGAACTAGCCAGTGCCTTGCTCCAAGCTAGCAGAACAAATTTTCACGTTCTGAAGTTGGTACTTCAGCTCCCTCTCTTAACAGATCCTCCTATGTTGAAAGATCCATGAGCTCAGAGTCTCATGTTAGCTTGCGGATTTGCTGTTAAGGGTGATGTAAGTGTCTGCGTCCGCAGGAAAGTTATGTGGGATTCTGCAACTCTTTCACCGTTGGATCTGAACCCGTAAGGCTTGTGGAAAAGTCCAAGAGAAGTCACAGAGTACAGTTCAATACGCGGGTCCTTCTGGAATCCCTTTGGGAAAAAGCGAATTTGAGAGTACAAGAATTGATCGCAGGACCTCAGGTCTGCTAATGAAAAACCCTTTGTTACTAATAAAGCAAAGGTGAAGCCTCTAGCAGCTGTTCCATTATGAAACACACACATGACACTGCCTTATATTGAATCTGACCACTGGTCCATCAAAATCAGAATTGCCTACTCAGACTGGCAACAGATCTCCAGGGTCTCAGGGCAGAGGTCTTTCACATCACCTACTGCCAGATCGTTTAACTGGAGATACCAGAGATTGAACCTGAGACCTTCTGCAAGCCAAGCAGATGCTCTGCCACTGAGCCACAGCCCCTCCCTCAGTCCACCATCTATCTAAGTCAGTACTGTCTACATAGACTGGCAACGGCTCTCCAGGTTCTCAGGCAGAGGTCTTTCACATCACCGACTACCCGGTCCTTTTAACCAGAGATGCCAGAGAATCGGGGATTATTTATTTATTTTTCATATTTATATCCCGCCCTCCCCAATGGGCTCAGGGCGGCTCACAAAGGCAAGGTAAAACCGAGCCATAATTAAAACATATGATACATAATAAAAACATCCAGCATTAAAACAGTGGTGCTCAGTCAATTACTAAACGTAAGTCCAAGATGGCTCAACTCAGTTCTTCTCCAGGATCTTCTAAACATTCCCAAGTTCTTCCTCAGGGCCTCGCCGGATGTCCTCTAGGTGCAATGGCGGTGATGGTATAGTGGGGCGGCGGCTCCTACTCAAAAGCCTGGTGGAAGAGCTCCGTCTTGCAGGCCCTGCGGAACTGCATAAGGTCCCGCAGGGCCCAGATCTCCCCCGGGAGCTCATTCCACCAGGTAGGAGCCGCCACCGAAAAAGCCCTGGCCCTAGTCACAGCTGATTTGGCATCCTTGGGGCCCGGGATGTCCAACAAATTTTGGGCCCCCGACCGTAGTGCTCTTGGGGGAACATGTGGGGAAAGGCTGTCCCTCAGGTAGGCTGGACCCAGGCCATATAGGGCTTTATAGGTAAGAACCAGCACTTTGAAGCGAATCCGGTACGCTATCGGCTTTCAGCACAGGCTGAATGTGGTCCATCCTAGAGAGACCCATCAAC